CCTTCCCAAGGAACCAGGATGCACGTGCTGCATACAGCCGCCGCCACCTGAAATACAACAGCCCAGGTTTTAATCCCGGTGGGGTACTTCCAAAAAAGTTGGGTGGGGGTTGTGCGGCCCACTTCCCAAAACCCTTACCCTATTTATGACCAAAATCTGCATTTTTTGCTACCCTATTTATGACCTGACTAAAAATTCGATAGCCTATTTATGAGCGTTGCGGCAGACACAGTTGCCCTACATGAGTTATGAAGGGCTTTTGTTGGTGGTCTTACTGATAATGATGAAAAAGTAGGTTCGTCTAAGAAACATACCCAATTCAAGACTAGATTGCTAAAACCATACCCAATTTATAACCAAAATGGCCCAAACTCGATACCCTATTTATGACGAAAAACTATACTCTCTGGGGGGCCGCACATACCTATATAGCCCATATAAGGGAGTACCCCCCGGGGGGGGGGCTTTCAATGTACACTACAAGCAGCCTCTGGGTTTTTTCTTATGTCATCAAGCGCGACCCTAAAGGACGGCTCGTGTGAAGCTTTGTCTGGCTCGATACAGTTGTCCCAGACTAACCAACCATGCGTCTCTTGTCTTTCGATTGTTTTCAAAGGTGCTAGGTCACGGTTTGCACATCTTGAAAAGTTTAGTCTAAATATTTCCACCTCTTCGTTTGCAATCCGTGTTAATCTTTCCCATCCTTAACCATCCTTGTTCCTTTATGATTCATTATTATCTGTTTGGTGTTTTTCTATCTTAGTAAACTGTACATGGCTAAAATATCTTGACTGAGCTCCTTTAAATAAACAAAATGTATTGCACGTGCGAGCTGGATCGATCGTGGGATAACTCCCTATTTGTTTGGTCGACGAGGTCCGCTATCGAAAGAGTGCTGCTAATAAATAACAGATTTATGGTTCAAGCAACCATTAGTCACCAAACTTGCTCCCAGGTGCTTTTCCCGAGCTTACTTTCAACGGTTTTTCACTCAGTACTTACGGGCCGCAAATCCTTCGGTTTGGTCAACCTTTTGAAGTAGAATTATCAATACTAAAATGATCACGCGCGCCGTGGATTTCTTCATCTTCTACAGTGGATAATCTAGAAAAAGAACAAAGTATGCGGACTAAAATTAATCTATTAGGCCACACCAGTAAAAAGAAATTCGGCTTAATTATTGCTTTATCGAAGTCACCAGCGTAAACTGTATGCTTATGCTTGTCTTTTTCATTGGTAGTTTCCTTTTCCACTCAAACAAATCAAAGTTTTGGGACAAAATCCTATGAAAATCAATATTTTTCAGTGATAGCTCCGCCCGGAGAAAATATTTTAGTTCCGCTTTCGTTGCTGTCTTCGTTTTCCCTTAGTCATGGAAATCTTGATACTTCAGTCTCAAATTTGCAAGGCTGAATCAAAACGCCTGCACTGATTTCAGCAGCCAATGTGAACACTTTTCACATCAAATAGAAATAAGTGAGGGTGAAAAAGATATAGAGGTAGTCTGAATTTTAGCGGTTCAACGAGTCCCTCAGCTCATTCCTCTCTGGGTATTCAGGCTTCAGGCTAAACTGGAGCCGCTAAAAACGAAGAAATCCAAACATGTTATCAGTTTGGCAAACCTGCTGGGAATTTTCGTTGAATGCTTATAAAACCTCCTAGTTCCTTTCCAAGAAACAAAGTCAGTTCAAGGTTCATTTAGCTCTAAGGCTTGCTGAAAGAAGACGTTTTCACAGAAAACGGAAACTGAAATTTAAGTTTTCACACTACCAGCTCCCAGCTCTCTGAGACATACTACAGTGCATGAATCACAGAGGAACTTTCCATCATGTTTATAGTCCGCGAGCAAGCTCACTGTTTGGGCAGGGTAACGCGGGCAAGGGCGGCGGAGCCGCAACCGAGAGCCGGCGAAGCCGGCGAGAAGAATAGTGGGACTTTCAAAACAAAGGAAAGTCGGGCTGGACTGGCACGAGTTCCTTTTTTTGAAAGTCCCACTGTGTGACTTGCGTCCCAGCATAATTAATTCCGTGCCATGTGACCGGATCGTGCAAAGGGCCTGGCTTCTCGCTGGCTTCGTCGCGCTCCACGGCTTTGCCCACGATACCCTACCCAAACAGATCCAAACAAGTGAGCCTGCTCGCAGGTTACTCATTTTACGGTAGAACAAATGTACAACCAGCCTTTTAGCAGTGAAAGTTGAGAATACTAGCATTTATTTATGAAGCACACAAGGCGAGCTACCGAGCTAGAAACATAAAAGTAAACAGGAAAGAAGCCAACACCTCATGCCGAAGAGACTTAAATACTGGGGAAAAAAAAACTTGCCATCATCGACACCGAGTCGATTAAAGGTATCTAGCTGTGTATATTAATATAATAAAGACTTTGTACAAACAGAACAAGTACGTACCTCAAAGCTATACTTGTAAGCACCAGTGCCGCGAGCGCGTAGACAGGACGTACAACTCAGAGCCAATTGCCGATAGAAGACGTGCACGCTACTACAGACCGAATATTTATACGTTTCCCAGGTTGATTCCTAAAATAGACCTTCAAGGATCAAAGTACACCCATAATAGTTAACGTGGATTTGTTAACGTTTTGGATGTCAATCAAGGAGG